CACTCTACAAATCTATTATGATTAATCTCCACCACTGTCTCCCATTTCACAATATTTTGTAATCGATTTTAGCCTAGCAGCACATTTTTATTTTGACACCCTATAACTATTAATCTGTTATTTTTCACTTAAAAAGGTATCCGACGCATAACTGGCCATTATTGTAACGACAACAAATATGTTATATTTTATAATTGTAAGAACCTGAAGACGAGAAATTATTATATTCTTCCTTCAGATTTTTCGTTTTATTCTTTTACGTTCCCAGTGGAACATAGGGCTTCAAGCTACAACACTGAAGTTCCGGTAACAGTGGTGTTTATTAATAATACGGGATGGGATGGCTAGCCTGATACTCAACCTTCCCTCGTTACCAGTTTTATTACTGGTTCAGAGAGATAAAGGAGTGCATCGGTCAGAGATCGAACCCCGAACCACGTGGGACATTGTTGGTGAGCATTTTACCGCAGTGCCACCGACGCGCAAATGCACAAGAATACGTGTATGCAATACTAGGTCACTCATTATCGTTGTTACGACCGAAACCGAATTGTTGTGATCTGATCTCAGGAAACTGCTTCATTCTCATGTGCCGTATTGCTAGTGTCAGTAAAATGACGTTGCTCACGCACAATGCGTTAGGAACAGATCTTATTATTATTGTCGTTAAATATCGTTCAGATTAACTTTTAAATAAATAATAAAGGAATTAAAAGGAAGAATTAGGAGAAAAAGGCACCCTTGGAGAGGAAATTTGTAATCCAAGTTTGGTCACGGTAGGAACAGCATCTGGACGTCTTCCTTTTGGATAGAAAGTTCCGGTCTAGGCGATCTTATTGCAACAATTTCAGCTATATGCAGGAGACGTCAGTGAACTGTGCTTGATAATAACTTCGGAATGTGCTAAGTGACCTTAAAAGGTAGTGTATTAGCCTCGATGGGTTGTTCTGTATCTACCAAGTTTGACAGAAGGGAACTTTTTATGCATCTGATTTCACCCTTCGCCAAGCTGTTAAATATTCTCGAATTCATAGAAGTTGCCTAATCATCCACACTATATTACAACTTGAACCACAGGGACAGTATTAAAGGGCATATGTATGAAAAAGAGCTAAGATTGAGTAAGACATCTTTAAGTTTGTAGGTGAACATTGGACGGCTACTGAAGCATAGGAACACATTGGCCCAGAGTAGAAAGTTTCCTTTATCGCTGTGGTTAGACATTGGCATATACTGTCCACAGGAAAATCTCCTTTGAATTTTAGACGTAAAAACAATGTCTTTTTCTCCACCATTGCCAGTTCATGTTAACGACTATTGCAACCTATGTCGGCTTTAATAAACATCTTGGATCTCCATTCTTACTTAGAATATCTCGAATGACCTGGAGTTCTTTCTCTACACAACCTTGCTCCAAATGCTAAGCCCCTGATCAGATTGATTACGTTTGTATTTCACTGGTACGAAGCTAAGAAAGCGTGTATACTGAGCTTTGGTTTCTAGCTTTCTAAATGTGTTTTTTTTTTGACGGAACCATCTTCTCTTCTCGTTATTTAGACGTCAAGGAAGAGGAGAGAATCGTTGTATTCTCCTTTGTGGGCATTACTGAAGTGGCTCAAAATCAAATCACGTATACGTAACCCTTCATCGTACACTGTAAAAGTGTCATCCATGTAACCACAAGACATTTCCATTTTTTCTATCTCATCTTTCAATGGACTGTTTTTTTCTAGTTTTGCTAGAAATATTTTTGCAAAAATAGTTCCTGATAGGGATCCTATGGCCATTCACTTCATCGACCTATCTGTACATTCTTCATCGCGATACTGAAGATTAGATGACCAAGAAAAAGAAACTCTGTCAAAAAAGAACCTCCTGTGGAACAAGTATAGGGAGGGAAATGGATTGGACAAACACACACTGAGACTGTTCACCAGTTACAACACACACTAGATCCTCTTTAAGGGAAACGATAGTCTAAGCATCGGTTTGAGCATGTTATGGAGGAGGAAATGGGTGCCTGTGGGAATTTGTGGAGCCAGACAAAATCACTAAGGGAAGGATAATAAATTCTGTCCGATGAAATCATGTACCAGTTGCCCTCTGAATATATATTACAGTGACGGTTTACCTAAGCCATATCGGAAAGTGTAACTTGGCCGGCTGGAGTTATCGAGATGTACAGCTATGATGATATGGATAAAAATCTTTCTCAATAGCCAACCCATCAGCTAAAATTTCTTAACGCTTTTTCATTGTAGTATAACTCCTTCTTGTATTTTTTATAGGCTGTTGAGAACTGCGGCAACTTCAAATGACCATCAGCAAAGTCTCAAGTTATTTCGTCAATAAAATAGAAACTAATAATGCACACACAGTAATCGATGTTTAATTGTGCTACATGGCGAAATAAATTTAATGGGAATTAGAGAAACTCTGTTAGCACTTTTTTTATTCATTGTAACTCAATGACACCAGAACTTAAGCAACCAGATGGACATCAAGACACTGTGAGAGGCAGCTTAAATGTTACGGAAAAAATTTCACCATCACATGAAAAGTAGTTGTTACTAGTGTACAGTACATCGGTAGCACGGTGGTAGAATGCTAGACGACCACGCAGGCGGTTCGGGTTTTGATCCTCGGCTGATGCACTCCTTTACCTCGCTAAGCCAGTAATAAGACTGGTAACGAGGGAAGGTTGGGCATGAGGCTAGCGATCCCACGCGTGAAAATAAACACCCCTGCTACCGAAACTTCAAGTCTCTAGCTTGTAGCCCTATGTTCCACTGGGAACGTAAAGGAATAAAAAAAAAATAAAACTAGTGTAAAACACCCCCATGAAAGGTCTGGCATGACCGAAGGTGGGTGTAGACTTCGGTATTCCTCTCGAAATGCTCATATGTGGCTACGCGTTCATAGTCTATGCCGGGTAAGTTCAATTCGCTACATTCAGGTAGACATAGTGCTCCCTCCCACTAAAGTATAAGGGCAAATGAGAACGTGTGACCCTTATGACCGCACCGGGGGACATGCAGATCTACCAAGGGAGCTGTAAGAGCATGATTCCAAACTTATAGTATTTATGGCCTTCAGAATACGAATGGCATGTGGACCTGTTTTCTCACCATCAACTCTGGGAACATACCCTCTGGATATGCTTCACTGCATTGTGGATCAGACTTCAAGTCAAAAGCTCGATTGGGGTGGGGTGTTGCATGATCGCAGATACAAGGGTACAACTGCTTGCAACGGCGGGTCACACACACACACACAGCTTATTTGAACTGGTTTTCTCAGAGTTCAGTTCGTATGAATATCTTATCACTGATTACTGACCACTACAAACTATTTCAAAATGTACAGTTTTCACAGTCGACTTTGCCTTTAACCCTCTCCCTGTCTCCAGGGTGGACAGACAGCGCATAGTTGGTTGTCTGAGGGAAACACACACCTCGCTAGGAATACAATCTGGCCGTCAGACTTACACACTAGGATAGTAACTATAACTGATGCTCGCTAGTGGCTGAGGGACAAAAGTCACCTAGAGATATCGTGACCAGTGGAGTTCACCAGCAGGTCAAAAGTGAGGACAAGTACTCGCCGCCAATGACAGTGGCTGGCTCCAGTCCCGCTAAAATCACGAATTCGTAGAAATTAGAATTTATGAGCTAGCTAATGAATTCAAGTCCCAGTGGCTGAATGGTCTACGCGTTAGCTTTCCTTGTAACCCGAAGGTCCTGGATTCGAACCCCACTGCGGTGGGTGCATACTAACGATGAATCCCAAGCTAGAACGAAACAGCCAGTTTTTTCAACGGTCCCGTAACTGATATCAATCCACGACCGAAAATGTAACTGCTAGTAGATTAACCAATCATCCAAACTACTTTTCAGGCATGGTCAGAGCTGGAGAGTGTAGGTTGTCGCATCATCGACAGGAGGAATATGGAGACGCAACCGACCACCATCACATCGAGAAGACCATAGTCACATCAACACCACCTACCTCACCAATAAACAGTGATAATGTATTATTCATTCAGGGGATAGTAGTCAATGAAGAAAAAAGTTCTTCAGTAATCCAATGCACATATCATTGTTAGGTATGTTGTATACGGAAACAATAGGCAGCGGGAGAGACAGAGAGAGATAAAAATCTGTCCGTCATCACAGAAATAACACTTTGAGAGAGAGAAAAAACGGGGATACCAGTAACTTAATTATGAAAGAATTCTATCGAGATTTCACTTTCAAATGTATTACACATATGCATATGCACGGGAGGGATTTGATGAAAGAGGTTAACTTTATTCACTTATCTAGGGAGCATTGTTTCAACTACAGGAGGAACAGTCAAGGATGTCAACTCGAGAATCGGGAAGGCAAGAAACACATTCATCAACCTGAAACCAATCTGGAAATCTTCGTCACTCAGCATCAACAACAACAAAATTCAGATTTTCAATACAAACGTCAGTCAAGTCAGTTCTTCTATACGTACGGATCAGAAACTTGGCGGGTCACAAAGAATATTTCCAACAGCCTGTTGCGCACCTTTATCAACAACTGTCTTCGTCGCTCTATACTGAAGATCAGATGGCCGGAAAGAATCAACAACAAGAAACTATGGGAACAAACAAAACAAGAACCAATCACCTAACAAATATGCAGGAGAAAGTGGAGATGGATTGGACACACTTGGTGAGGAGGCCACTGGGTGACATCGTGCGTCAAGCCCTCGAGTGGAAACCGAAAGAGTGACATGGAGGAGATCGTGTGAAGAGGAGTTGAAACGGTATGGACTAACATGGATGCAGGTGAAAAGTACAACAGAAAACAGAAGCAAGTGGAAATGTGCAGTTTAAGCCGTATGTTCAACTAGGAACCCAAGGGAACAACAACAACAACACATATGCATATATAAATAAATATAATAATCGATAAAATGAAAAAAGTAATCGATATACTACTACTACTAACAATAGTAGTGTGTATCGTTAAAAATATATGATGTAGCGACAGCCAGTAGTATATATATGTGCGTATATACATATATCATGCCAATAAAACTTGAGAAATGATCACCTCATAAGTCATAAAGATCGAAATTACAAAGGTGAAACGGTCACTTTGCTTCACACTACTATTAAAAAGTAGTATTATCCTAAAAAGTAAAAGTAGTAGTAGTATAAAACACGACAATTACACATGTAACACAGTTTTCGAACAGAACACCTTAGTTTAGGCATTATTGAACAATTGAACAAAGAAGATTTTGTTTAGAATGAATACGCAATTGGAATAAAAGACGGCGGGGGTTCACACAAAAGAAAATGGCGGCAAGAGATACTGACAAAAGATTATTTTTAAGAGATTACAAAAGAGTGAAGGAGAGACAGACAGTCAGACAGACAGACATAAGCATACAAAGATGAAATCCTGCTTGCTGCAATGTATACACATACATAGATAACAATTGATTACCACTATTATCATCATTATTATTACATGGTATAAGAATGTGTCGACACATACATGATTAGTTGATTATTTTTTTCGTCGGGGGGTGGGTGGGTGGTGGGCGCCTAATTTAACAGAACCAAGCTTATTCTTTTGTTGATCTGTTTATTTTATCCTAAAAGAGACGATAATTAATTATGATACTGAAAGAGAGAAAGAGAGTGACAGCGGAGAGTATTGAATCTCAGTATGTAGAGTGTTCGTGTCTAAATGCATATCATTGTTGTTGTTGTTGGTGGCGGCGGTGGTGTTCTTCAGTTAGTTATAAACAGCGGATGCTCAGCAAGATAACACGCGCAGGTTTCATAAATATTGAGTTTATCTGAAAGTAAATAAAAATAAATAAATAAACAAATCAATAGGGAAAGCAGCATTTATGAGTAGAGTCATATATGATTGGCATGGCCAACGTGAAGAATAGCGACTAAGGAGTGAGAACGCATCAATGACCTTGGCACGCATACCATTCATTGGATGATTACAGAACCTGACGTGTATTCTACATCAAAAAGCCGTTTATATATATATATATATAGCCTGGCGTGCTATGTCATTCGATGGTTTCCTCAGAGTGTGTGAGATCCATCGCCTGAGGTGGTCTGTTGCTAGAGTTTCTTGTTGCTAATTCTTTCTCGCTGGCCATCTAATCTTCAGTATGGAGCCACGAAAGACGGCTGTTGATAAAAGTCTCCAACTTCTTGGTGATACTTTTCAAGATACGCTGGTCTAAATTCTGATGCACATAGAACTAACTGACTTAACATTGTTGTTCGAAATCTACATCTTGTTCTTTATGTTACGGAGTGCAAAAGATTTCCAACCTGATTTCACAACGATGAGTGTCTGAATTGCCTTTTCGATCCATGCTCCAACTGCCTGTATTTGAAAGATGCTTCCTAGATAAATGAAGAAAGTGACCTCGTCCAAATTTATTACGTAGTGATTGGTATTAGATAGTTGGAGGCAATCGGTAGGAAGCCTTGCTTGACCTAGGTTCCGTGCTAGTCGGCACTCACCAGTCAGCAAGGTGTATCTGCAACCTTGAAGGAACTCATGTCCCTTCTGAGATTCGAACCCGCGTCACCCAGTGCTGCAGTTAGAGACGTTACCACTGAGCTATTCAGGCTCGCGATTGACCTCCTGTAGGACTGTAGTGGGTATTTTGATTGGATACTAGTAACTAGTGTGACGTGTCTAGTCCTTTCTTTGGTGCAGACTGAATTCTGTCAGTCAGATTTGCAATGTGGCCACCATTCTAGGTAGCTCGTCATCACGCCGATTGCCTCCAACCATCTAATATCATCAAATCAATGTGCACCGTGATAGCGAGCTACCTAGAATGGTGACTACATTACAAACCTGACTGATAGAACAATTTAGTCTGCACCAAAGAAAGAACAAGACACATTACACTAGTTGCTAACTAGTGTTCAATCAAAAAGTAGTGATTGGTGTTTGTTGTTGGTTGGTTATTTGCATCATCTCCGTATTCCCTACGTTCACTTGAAGTCCTCTCTTAACTAGCAGCCTCTCCTGCCAGTTTGTTGATTTCGAGTAAAGTTTTCGTGTTTGTGTGACATTAGACAGAAATCATCGACGAAATCCAAATCTTCTTATCAGTCCAAGATATTCTTGTCTTCTCGGCTCCACAAAGTTTTCTGCATGGTTAGAAATATCATCGTTGGGGATAGATAGTAGTAGGCAACCAGCTCTGTTTCAATTCTGTCTTCACCGACTTTTCCTTTATGGATCACCTGAGACGTGCTGTTGTCATATAGCCAACTGTTGAAAGAGGACACATGATTGCTGCGTTATACTAAATGATATTATGGAGTAACGAATCTTGAACTCAATAAGTGAGGACAAATTTCGCATGTGTGAGGTCAAGACACACACACTTATTGCATGAGGATTGATGCTAGTAACCAGTTGCCGACAAGCTGAAGAGTAAGTGAAACGAGACTCGAAGTCGCGACTCATTGGTCGAAAGTCGAGTGCTTAAAAGCCAATAAACAAAATTTTGACATCACATCAACAAAATAAAATGATGATACCGGTCAGACCGAAAATGTATTGTAGATATTTACTGAAAATCCAAATAAATAGGAGAGAATATAAGTCATCTACTGTTATACCATATACAGAGGGGGGGGACATCTGAGTCACTCCTTACTTAGGATTCTCAATAAAACAGGAATTAGGGTGGCATTCAAACCTACAAACTCACTCAGACAGGACAAGCTCTGTAGGTTAAAGGACCCAGTTGACCCAATTAGACAAAATAATATAATTTACAAAATACCTTGCAATGACTGTGAAGTCAATTACACAGGTCAAACTAGTAGGTCGGGGGTAATCAGATTGTTGGAATATAAGAATTTAGCTAAGGTAAGAATGGTTGACCCCATGAAGATAAGTAATTTAGAAATTAGCTCAGCAACTCCACTGTATGCATTAACACGAAACCACAAAATAGGGTGGGAGAGGGTTAAGATTCTAAAAAGTAATATAGGTAGGTGCAGAGAGAGGTTGATTACTGAATCCTGGTTCATTGAGTCTATACCCAACACATGCAACAGAAATGACTCAATGCAAATACCAGAAATATTGAAGATATTATAACCGCCAGTCAAATCAGAGGAGGATAGAAAATAATCTCAAAATTCTATTTCAATTCAAGCAAATCACAACATCCTAACAAGTTACTTATTATAACTATAAAAACACTCGTCTTATTTCCCATCTGATTATAATTGATCAATAACACTCACATTATTATTATTTCTGAATGTACATTATCCCAAATTGATTTTTAATCCAATATCTAATCGATTCCACACATGTATATAAATGAAGGAAAAAAGTTGTGTGAGTGAGTACCTTGATATGATTATGAGTAATAGTTTGTTCTCGAAACTTGGTCATCAGTGAATATTACTGTGTAACACTGTGTGACTTATCAAAATAAAATCTTATCCATAATTGAGTGAAAACCCAAATGTTACGTAATACTAGGTCAAATAAAGTTGTGGTCACGAATTGGTAGAAGTTAGATTTCAGAGGCTCTTGGATAGGGTTGCAGTGATTGAATAGACAATGAGCTCACGAAAGTCCTGGGTTGGAGCCCTCTAATATAGGGAGGGGGTATTGATGAAGAGTCCGAAACCGGGACGAAACAGCCGTCCAGTACTCACAGGTTTTCCAATTATTCCCTAACTGATATTTAATCTCATGATTAGACCTCTAACCAATCAAGTCCCTGATAAATAAGGATGACACAGGAACACCGACTGGGACAAATGGGACAAAACTATACAAAATGAATGACACACACACAAAGAAACACACCTGAAATCTTAATATACGCACACACACACGCGCATAAAACATCTTAGAAATTGTTATTCGAATGTGCAGCAGGTATACTGCCAGTATTTCTCCCGTCAACACGTTCTTTTTGTGCTGGTAGGCTAGAACATTTCGATTGATGCGCTGGAGGCGGTTGTGGAGGGAAGAGTAGAGCGGCTGCAGCTGCACTCAACGCTGGATTAATATTCAATCCAATCCGACCAGTAGTAGAAGTAGCAGTAGTAGTACTCTGCAATGCTCTACTTTGTAGTTGATCGATTTGTTGATTAGACAGAAGAGCAGCTGCAGAATGATGATGAGCAGCAATCGGTTGATTGAATTTGCTGGCATCATATACGAAATTGGCTGATGAATGTGATCCACTTGATTTTGGAATGCCTTCATTATGAATCGGTAGGGTGGATGATTTAGGCAAGTCATTGATTTTCACATGGGTATTTGCACTTTGTTGAGAAGGATAACTTTGAGGGTATGATTGTCTGAAACAAACAAACAAAGAAACAGAAATTCTACGTTTCATCACTCGTTTTTATTTTAATAAATATTGAATAAAGTTGTATATGCTGTTTAGCAGTAGAAGGCTCGCCGACCGTCCAAGCTGTCCGAGGTTCGAACCCCGACTAACCGAATGACTGCTAAACCTCACACTTAGCCAGTAATATGCACAGTAAAGAGGGAAGGTTGAACGGGAAACTAGCAACCCCATTCTGTAAAAAGATACAACACCCCTGCTTTTGAAGCTTAAAAGATTAAGCTTGAAGCCCCTGTAATTCTATATGGAACGCAAAAGGAATAAAAAAGAAGACCACTGTTTTCAGTACGATCTTCAGCACATTTGGCGCAAGACTAGAGTTACAGAAGTCCTGATACTGATAAAAACTAATCGGTAAAATAAGTGATTAACTTCAAATATCAGACATTCACAGAATGCCATTAAATAGCAGGGACACATATTGTGGTGGTGTGTTAAAGACAATGTATCCGAAGGAATATTCCACGTATTCCCACAGTTCAACATACTGCATTAGCAACAGAATACTATATATATATATATATATATATATATTGGTGTAACGACAGAAGGTAAGAGTCAGGCAACAGATCATTTATTAAGGAAATCAACGCATATTTATATATTTTCATGTACATTACTATGGTTATTTAAACAAACAAACACAGTCTCCCGATTGGTTGTTTCTCACGTAAAGTTAATCTTTCATCTCTTTGTGACTGTTTCTTGAATGTCAGATCATCTATATGTTAACTGCATCCGCCTACGCAAAGTCTGCTGTGGTCGGTTTTGAATCAATCTTTGTTCACATTTTCTCACGACAAATCTTGGGAACGTAAATATTGACGTAAATTACTGTCTACCAATTTGGCTAGTAGACAGCTCTCACCACAATAGTAGTTGAAGTCATTATAAAATTATTATTATTGTTCCTTTTAATTCCTAGAGGAACACATAGGGCTTCAGCTGCACGTCTCCATTGCGTTCAGTTCTCTGCCAACGGTTTCATCTCTTCTTTACATGACCTCCCCCATGTTACCCTTACACTGACAACCAACTCGCCGCTTCCCATTCGAGTCCTAATCGAGCAATGGCCTAGCGTGTGATGTCACTCACTTGATGGTTTTCTCAGAGTATGGCCAATCCACCTCCATTTCTTCCTGTAGATTGGTTGCACAATTGGTTCCTGGTTGGCTCGCTCGCTCCCAGAGATCCCTACCTGCTGCTGATCGGTTCTGGCCATCTGATCTTGAGCGAAGACAGCTGTCAACGAAGGTCTGTATTTTGTTCGAAGTGCTCTTCATGATGCGTCAAGTCTTTGATCCGCATAGTAGCACAGACTTCACACTGGAGTTGGAAATCCGGATCTTATTTTCATTTTCATCCTGAGTGCTGTTGATCTCCACACAGACTTGACAGTAATGAAAGCTTGCATACATCGCAGTAAGACGTATGGTGTTGTTAAAGTTCATAAGTCAGGATACCCTATTAGGCCTATAGTTGATTTTAGAAATTCACCTACTTATGAATTATCTAAATATTTAGTCATGGTATTCAATCCTCTCAAAAACCACTCGAAATCTAAACTAACAAATTCTTATGAACTAAAATATGGATTAGATAATTTAAAATTAGATAATGAAGAAAAAATGGTTAGTTTTGACATTGTCAGTTTATACACACGTATAACGATAAATATGACTATAGAGCCAGTCAGAAACGAACTCATTTCTGACCAAGAACTCGAACTTAGGACAAAAGTGCCACTTGAGGACATAATGCTGTGAGTGCAGCTATGCTTGACCTCCACAGAATTTAAATTCCAAGGGAAAATATGCAAACAAACTGAGGGAGTTGCCATGGGATCACTGATATCCCTGGTTGTGGCAGATATATTCATGGATAGGTGGGAAAGCATAGCGATTGAAACGTTCACCCCCACCCCAGAGTATGGTGGAGGTATGTAGATGACACATTCACTGTACTTAGAACACAAGATATAGATAGATTTTTCGAACACATCAACTCGAAGGTAGAGGCAATTCAATTCACTTATGAATTGGAAAGTCAGGAAGGGCAGCTTCCAATGTTAGATTGCAACGTTAAAAGGAAAGAAGATGGGAAGTTAAACACTAGTGTCTTCAGAAATCTCACACATTCAAACAGATATTTGGACTTTAGATCATCCCATCCTATGTCAGTAAAAATAGGATTGGTGAAATGTTTAAGTGACAGAGCACAAAAACTAAGTAGCACCAAAGAAAATCTAAGACAGGAAGTGATACATAAAAGAAGACTTGAAATTTAATAATTACCCGGATAAATTAGTCAAGAAATATGTAAGTGTATGTAAAAATAATATAAATAATGACAGCAGTGATAGTGATTATTATTATTATTATTATTATTATTAATGACGACACCAACAATAAGGAGTCTAAATCATCAGTAGTAATTCCATACAAGGAAGGAACCTCGGAAACCTTACGCAGAATTCCTAACAAGGCAGGGATAAAAGTGGCATTCAAACCCACAAACTCAATTAGAAACAAGCTTTGTCGCTTACAGGATCCTGTGGAACCTTTAAAACAAAACAACAATTTATTTTATCTAATACCCTGCCTGCAATGTGTCAGGTCAAATACATAGGTCAAACTAGTAGAACAGGGGCAGTCAGACTAGCCGAGCATAAAACCTAGCAGCAAAATCTAGATTAGTTGACCCGAATAAGATAAGAAATCTAGAGAATAGTTCAGCTACAGTAGCACTACATGCAGTTACATACAACCATACAAAAGGTTGGGATAAGATGACAGTTTTAAAATCTAATGTCACAGCAGGGTGAAGGGAGAGATTGATAACAGAAGCTTTGTTTATCGAATCAACTGCAAACACGTGTAATAGGAATGATTCAACACCTGTCCAGTCTGATATCTGGAAAATTCTACTACCCCAACGACGACAAATAGGAGAGGACAAAGAAAACTATAAAACTCAATTTTCGAAGTTGTGTGATTATAATTGATGGAATGATTATGAACAATAAATAAATTGTGTTCTAAACTTTGTCATCCAGTAAATATTACTGTTTCACTGTGTGATATATCTAATAAACAAACTAACATGGAATTACTTACTACCACAGTGCCCAAGTTTTACACATATATTAATAGCTCTTTTCCAGCCTGACCCTATGTCAGCTAACATTGCCTGTTGAGGAAGACGCTGGGTTAGGCATACGTAACGCATGTTCTAACCATCTCAGTCGACGTACCTTCACAGCCTCGTCTATTGATTCCCCGTCCTCACCTACCATTTGACCGAAGCCCAACCTCAATATTGCCCACGCTTCTATACCACTTCACACGGGAGATATAACGCAGACATCTATGATCAAAGACAGCTAGCCAGGCTTTTCATGTCTTCCACTGTCAATGGCCAGGTCTCACTGACAGCCATAAAGGAGGACGGAGTGGACTGCTGAGCAGTGTATCCAAAAGTACGGGAAATAAAGGACGAGAAAACGATACATCCAACTGTTGCAAAGCAGAAAGTGTTCATTTGTCTCCCATTCAAAGGAAAAGCAGTATCACGAAAGATTGACAAGAGAATGAAAGGAGCAATAAAAAAGATGCCTCTCTCCAGCTAAATTAGTATCATTATACAGCACCATATGCTCTACAAGCCTTTCCGAATGGGACAAGTACGCGGCTGATGTCACCTCCAACTACGTTTTTAAATCTATGTGCAATTGCGGCAGCAAGTACATTGGAAAGACAGAAAGAAGGCAGGACTTCTATCCGTTTTCTAAGCATTACTGAAGATACTTATGCCTAAAGAGAAGCAGATATTCGCAAAATGCAATTGCTCGTCACTTTGTGGATATGCTAGGCACTTCTTCAAGATTTTCAAATCATTCAAAATATTAAACATACAGAGGACAGTAAATTTTACTACAATCTGCTGAAGCAATTGCAATCAAACGTCTAAAAACCAAACTTATGCATACAGAAAGAAAGGACGATCAATCTCACACTCCCTTGGTAACTGCACTTTGATTACATTGATTCATTATCCATATTAGTGATTACAGCTCACTGAGCAACTTTTCAATCTTATGAACTGGACGACCTGTTATGTAAATTCAGAATCAGACACTGTTCAAAAGATTTTTTCTCTTTTTTTTAACATTCGCCTCCTCCCTCCTTTTCTATCCCGAAATCGCATAAACTGTTGGTAACACGAACTAACAATGGTGTTGCTTACATTTCGGATGAGTCAAATTTACAATACTTTCTCTACTACGACCATTCAAATATTGGAGCCATTGTTTGCAACTGTTGATGAGATCCTGTGAAATAGAATGACTACGTCATTTTATACTGCAAATCTGGTCTTTCTTTGTTTATCGAAATTTATCAAGGAAACCAAGTGTAAGAAATTAAAGACAATTCAGAGAAGAAAATTTTCTTTATCGACGAAATCCCCTCCAGAGACTGTAAAATCGTATATTTAACAGAAGAGTACAGCATTCTACTATTGAGTAAAAGGGGCGATATAACTGATACTATTGCTCTGAAGTGGTCTCTATAGCTAAAATATAGAAAATTACGTAACAGTAGACGACATATTAGAAAGAAAAGTTTGAAGGTGAAAATTGTGATTCGATGAGACATCAGCTAGTTGAGCGTCCACTTGACAAGTGTGAAGGTGAGATAAAACGCAGTGAAATGTACATGTAAGAGCTGGCTGACGACATAGGGTCAGGTTGGAAAAGAGCAATCGGTGGCCTAACCAAAAAATGGCTACATCAGTCAATGAAATCCACAACAGTTAGTTTGATCCAGTCACGCAGGCAGGTGTAGACTAGCTTCCTGGTTGGGGTCCTCGGAACGGTAAACACCAATGATGATATTGAGGTTGGGCTTCGGTCGAGCGCTAGGTAAAGAGGGGAAATCAATCGACGAG